TCTGATGTATGCCCTACTGAGCAACTGACCAAATTTCTGTTCATCAATTTAATACAAAGTCAATTTAATTCTGCTTGACCAAAAATCAGGGTTTATTGTTCCAAAACGTGCAATCATCTCACAATATATTGCAATTAATTGCTGGTTAAGTGGCTAAGTGTTATCAATAATAGCCACTCTGATGAGGACAAAGAGGACTGCCAGAATCCCTTATGGAAGATTAAAAAAATAAAACCTATTTTATACACGACTTTCAGAAATGGTTTCCAACACATGAGAGCAGGGGGTGCTGTGTGGATAGGCTGTCATAATCACATCTTTAGAAACTGATAAGAAACAAGCATATTATTCTTGATTTACTATCCCTTCATTTATGACTGCCAGTTAATATAGATCCACACAGCCATGCCAAAGAGATACTAGAGGCCTGATTGTGCTATCCTCATTCAAGAAAAACCCATACTCAAAAGTCCTTTTGAAGCCTTTCTGCTTCTGCCAACTCTTGCATTTTTTATTGCAAGACTTGCAGTACTCAGTGTTTTGGTTAACATTTTGGCTCCTGGAGTTATACAACATATGAATCTCCTTTATTTTCAGTTTTAAAAGAAGTTTATCACCTTCATGTTCGAATAGAAAAGCTTGCAAATGAGCCTTTTAGAGAATGTCAAAAATGAAAGTTAAAAAGAAGAAAGAACATAACAGTATTATTTTGCTGAATAACTTCATAAAGGAAATGATATTCTTAGAACAAATTCATGATTCCTAAGCCCCTGTGTATACTTGCAACTCATCAAAGTTAGCAATATAGGCTCTAACTTCACAGGAGCTCCATTCTCACAGCATTTAAAAGTAGGGGATTTCTTTACTCACACATAAAGAAATGCCACATTTTAGGAATACCTTCCAAAAAACTAGATTATGTCTCTACACTTTTAAAGAGGTCTAAGAGGATAAATATTTCTAATCTGTAGGGCATCTCGCTGCAGAAAGGAGGTGGGTGGTCTTCTCTTCCTGCTTTGAGCTTCCTCCAGCCCAGTGTGGGTGGAATGGAGGAGCTATCCAGGAATTCTCAGCTTCTGCTCCAGTGGCTCTGGGTTCTCCCAAGTGTCAGTGGCAAAGCAGAGAAAACCTTTTATTGATCACTGATCAGATGCTGGTTGCGCATCAATTGCCCAACTGGTGGCAGACTGGGCAGCTCAGCCTGTAAACTGTCTTCTCTAAGGAGTCTACCATAAGCATGTGGTGATCCTACAGGAGAGCTGGAGCTCAGAGACCATCTGAAGAGTCTGTATCAAAAAAACAAGAACTAAACTATTCCTCCCATGATGACTGCAAATCTGCACATAGCTTAACACTGAAACGCTGCACTAACTTCCTAATTTCCCTTTTTTTTTTTTCTTTTTTCTCTTTTCTTCTTTTCCTAACACCTTTTGCTTATTCTGCAAGCTATTTGAGGCAGAGGCTGTCACTTCCTGTGTGTTTATGCAGTGCCTTGCACAAAGGCTGACAGCTGCAGATGCTATTATAATCACAGAGAAGGGTGGGATTCTCAGGGCACTAAGGAAAATGAGGCATTCACCTATCATTGATGTTCAATAGGTCTTACGTACCATTTTCCACTTTGAAAATCTACAGTTTATTTACAGTATAATAATTAAGTTGTCTATCACCACCAAAGCATCCATTGTTAAAATACGACACCGCCTACAAGCAGGCAAACCTTCATTGAGAGCAGAGTCACTAACAGAAAGGAATTTGTTTAAGGAAGAACTAAGATCTCATTTGCTGAAAATCACTCACAACAGCAGTCAACATACATTCTGTAAGTATCATGTCTATCTTGTATCATACACTGCATTAGTTAGACACCTGCTGAGAAGAACACACTCCATCAATTGAAGCACTAACCTTGCAGGTTTCTTAAAAGAACATTTCCTATAAAAAGTGATTTAAATTATCTTCTTTAAGTATTGCAATCCTTAACTGAATTCAATACCTCTGCAAATGGAGCAAACAATTTCTGACTAATTAGATCTTTCTTTTATTCATTAAGTCATGCACTGGTTTGCAATAATGCAAGGTTTTTTTTCCCATTAGCAATTCCTCTTTAGCAACATGTTTTCCTCAGTAACCTAATTAATGCCAGAAAGGTAACTTTTCTTTTAATGCATTACATTATGTCAATGCAGTTGACAACTTTACAGAGATCATGTATAAATAAAGGTCATTAAAAGGTGTAAAGGACAAAAATGAAAGAGAATACAAAGTGTAAAAGTAGCTTTTCCATGAGGATGAGTGCCCTCATCTCCAAGTGACATCAAGATGCAAAGTAATTACTCAGCACTCTGCAGAGCAGACCCGTGGGAGTCCTATGGGGCACTAGCACATAAATTATTACTTTCAGGTGGAATAAGATAGCAGATATTAATGAAGAGAAGAAATCATGTACTTAATTTGATTTAGTAGCTTCCTAGGTCTGAGTTTGTTGCATGAATAACACAGGAAACTGCAGACAAATTTCAGCTTTGACTTTGGGACATTATCAATCTTTTCAAATCCAATCATAGATCTGTTTGCAAACTACATTACAGTGCAGACCCTAACTAATTAACTGTATAGTTGTAATGACAACACAGATCCTACTAGATGGGGAGCTTAGACATATTGAAGCAAGCCACTGTGGATTATTAATAGCAAGAAGGCCTCATTTGTAGACTCAGGATCTCATGTGCTTTGACAACATTAACACTGAACACTTCCCCTGGAAAGGCTGATTTCAGGCTCTTAGATACAGAAATATTCCTACCAACTTACTTCATATGGGCTGCAGCAAGGACTTAGGAAGGCTAACACATGAGCGAGACTGTTCTAAACCTTCACCCATGCGATGTGCTTTGGTGAGATGCTGTGCACATCTTTATGCTCCTGGAACCTCCCTGTGCTGGTGGGGCATTAGGAAGCAGGTGCTCACAGCACTGTGGTGTGCTCAGATCAGCCAGGAGCAGCTGAAGGAATGGCAAAGTGCTCTAAAAAAGCAGTATAGATGAAGTTGATAATGGCCACACCTTATTATAGGCATTGCAGTCTGGAAACAGAAGATCTTTAGGAGATCTTTTTCCAGAATTATCTATTTCCTCTCTTCAGAAAAATATAATACAGCAGTGGGAAATATTTCTGGCAACTGATGCCAACCTATACAGCAATTGTACCAATAAACTCCCATCACACACAGATCATGCAAGGTCCAAACTATAAACTGCCTCTGTTACACTCTTACTCCCAAATTGTGCCTTGGAGTTACCTGAGAAAGTGGCTGGGAATTGTTAGGATAAATTTAGTTTAAGTTTTTTTTTGAGGGAGCATCAATTTCACCCAAACTCTTCCACTGTGCAGGGATGCACTGTTCTTTTAGATTGCTCTTTTCTCTGGGAAATTCTGTTTTCTTCTGCAGTAAAATACCGAGCAGACTAGTTGGATAATGAAGTGGGAGATGCTATTTAAACACAATTAATAATGAAGAAAATTTATTGCCTGTTTAATAAAAACACTGTAGCTTACTGCAATAGTAATTAAAAAAAAAAAAAAAAAAAAACAACAAGCCTGCAATCTGTGTTTACAGTGCATGCCACATTTTGTTCCTTTTTTTTTTTTCCTTTGGATTCTCAAAGCAAGCAAGGAAAATGCATAAAACCATGTTTGCTGGAAAAGACAAGTAAAAAAGACTTTTTAAATGCTCACTTTTCACTCAAACGTTCTTCCTCACTTTAAAAAAGAATAAATTTTACATCACTCCAGTTTCCAATCCTTTGTATAAAGTGTACGTGAATAATACAGACAGAAAAGCTCCTGTCAGGCTTAATGCCCTGATCAAATTCAAACAGTGTGTTGAGATTTTACACAGAAAACAGGCAACTTGACCTCAGCCTCCCAATGTAACCATCATGTTCTCCTCCATTCTTGAGGAAATTAACCTCATTCATCACATCATGCTCCTGTTCCTCCCTATGGCTTGTGACACTCTCTTTGCCTTTGTCCCTACTTGGCTCTCCGAGTGTAGCTGTCACAGCTTCATGGCATAGTGGGTCACAAACAAGGATGTGAACCAAGTGAACACATGAAAATCATTTGTCAGTGTTGGTTTTTTTTTTTTTTTTCAAACATATTTCAAGCACACAGAATAATTATATTAAAAATATCTTCTCTGACAGAGAAATGTCTTGGTAAATTTTTAAAGCTTGAAGTCAGAACGCTGTTATTCAGAGCAGCAGCTCTTAATTCAACAACCCAAATTTTCTGAAAAAGGAGAGGGAAAAGAAAATTCCCCTACATATTATACAGAGATCCTGACAAAACATGAAAGCTACTAAATATATCTCTAAATTCATGAGATGCAAATAACCTCAGCAAACAGTAAACAGCTGCCTCTGGCTTGAAGCCTGAGTCTCCCACAGTTCAGAGTTGTCTTAATTCCCTTTGCAGTCATTGCCTCTTCTGAGGAATACTGCTCAGAAAGATGCCAAATCATGGGAAATGATAATTCCCACTTTCCAGGTTTTTTTTTTTTTTTTTTTTTTTTTTTTTTTTCTCTGTCTTCTCACCTCCTTCCTGTTCAATTCCCATTTTCTATCCCTTGGAAAAAACACATGACTTGATTCATTATTTCTAATTCCAGACATCCAATTCCACGCTGAAAATAGTCAATGCTAGCCATCAAAGGAAGAAATCAATTTTTTTTAAAAATGCACCACTGAAGATGGACAGCAAAGCAATTACAAGAAAAATGTGAACTGAGAAATCTGCCTAATTTAGACAAACAGCAAAGTTCTTCTTTTCCTTCTAAATGCTGATGAACATCACACTCATGAGCCATGTGCAGAACTTTTATCAGTAACTCAGACATTTCTTCAATGGGAACAACTGACTCCGTAGAATGAATGCAATATAGGAAGCCGTACAAAAAGATGTGAAAACTTTTGCAAAAGATAAAGAAGCTGACTAACCTGGCCAATAGGTTCCTTTGTCGGGGCCTTCCCTCTCCTAGCGGTGCTCGTGGCCAAAGTGGTGGTGGTTTCCATGACTGATGTTGACATCTCAGACTGCATCGCTGTGGCTGTGGACTCGGTTGTCATGGAGGAAGGCACTTCACCAACAAGTCTCACATTTCCTTCTATCACGATGTTGGCATCATTTTCTGCTGCCATATTCAGAACTTTCAAGCCATTGTAGTAAAGACCAGAGAGCTGGCCTTGGAAAGGATGGCCCCGTTCCTTGCCTCCAATTTTTATGGTTGCTTGGCTATTGAAGATTGTGAGTTGACGCCCTGTGAAGATAATATTATATACATGCAAAAATGTTGACTGTGAAAACAACACTCTACAAGAATGATAACAGATTTTCGTGGAGTGAATAATGACAGCAATAAACTATAAGAAAAAGACTTGACTCATAATTCATTGCTTTTTAATGAGGTGTCCATGAAATGCATAAATTTTGAGAGCATTTGCATGTTCTAAAATTGCCATATTTTGTCGGGTTTTTTTCCCTTTTCTTTTTTCTCTTTTTTTTTTTTTTTTTTTTTGCTAAAAGGCCAATCAAATATATTCGTAAATGTTTTCAGTACTACAAGTGACACCCCTCTCCCTTTTACCTGAAAGCAATGCTAAGCTTTTTCATGCGTGTCAAGGTTGCCAAGATTGCAATTCCTTAAGATTACTTTTTCTTCAAGGACTGCCAACATTCCAAAGATTTTTCCGTGTAATTCAGCATTGAGTCTACAGCTTTAAAATGAGTTTATGTATGTATAGACATATGCAAATATGTGTATACACACAGAGTTTATATGTATGCAAACGTCACTAGGTTAAGAGAATTTTTAAAGGATGTTATGCAGTAATCTGTCATATCTCTATATAAGTGAATGAAATATTTATATTTTTTAATTAAAGATTTCCTTTTTGTATTTAAATGCTTATTTTCCTTCAACAAACACACTGGAAAGAAACACATGGTTCACACTGAGTATCTTAGAAGCAGATTCAAAAATAGATGTGTGATTGGCTTTCAGCAAGGCTATCAATTAAAATAAAAGATTTTAGATGTAAAAGCGGCTTCAGAAATGATACACATACCGATGGAGAAATCATGGCACATTTTTATTCAACAGAGAAATCCTCAGCAACAGTACCACTCTTAGTAAATAGAAGTCACTTTAGCAAATTGGTTTCTGCTCACAAAAAGCATGCACACAACTTTAAGTTCTGTTTTAATTAGTGTTTGTTCCAAAATCCCCTTAGAAGGTTGCAAACGTTAAAGGGACTTCATTTTGATTGGCAATTCATCTTGCCCACTATTTAAGATACCTACATTTTAAGCAAATTTTTTTTCAGGACCGTAATGAAGATATCGTAACTACGTATATTTTTAGTTAATAATTTAGATGCTGGAGCATGTCATATAATCTATGAACGATTTATAATTTTTTGTTAATGTTTGCTATGCGTACCTTCATAGATTGAGTTAGTGGATTATATTTAACAGTCCCTTTAACCTTAAGTTAACAGGGTAAGGTTATTAAACAGCTGGTACTTCTAGAAATGTATAGAAATTATTATACAAGGTATGCAAATATTACTCTATATTTTACTTTTTAAAATTTGTTTTAAATTTAGTTTTACTGAAATTTATTTTTTATGTTTATTAGTGTTACAATGAAGCACTACTTGGTTATGTTCAAATTATTTTTTTATTTGAAGTTTTAATCAATGTTTTTTACCTTTGTCGAGTAGCCATTCATCAACTACTCGACCAAGTCGATATGGAATTCGCTGTCTAGCAATCGCCAGGCGCTCGTTATCATTGTTTCCTTTAAAGTTTAAAGAGACATTTCATTGGTTAAAATCTGTAAGGTCAAAGGTTAAAAGTTAATACTTAAAGCTTGAGCTATACAGTTGCCACATGATTTTTTGAAATTTGGAATTTTAAAAAGCGCTACCTGGAACATTTCATGGTTCAGACTTTTCATTCATTCATTTATTTTATTTTAGCAAACAAAATTATTCCTATGTTAATTGAAAATTAGAAATCTGCATTTGAGCTAGGTTATTAAACTTATGTTAGAGACAGACCCAAAAAACAAATTTAAACATCATAGAATGGCTTTACAAAAAAATGATCATTGACCTCAGGGTTTTGTCTTTTTTGATGTTTCTTATTAACTAGTTAAACATGTTCAGGTGAAACAGGTTTAAGTTCTCCAAAGACATCCAACCTCTCACTCCAGGTTAGTCATTTAAAGAAGAATAACACAAGTCTTAATCACCATTTAAGGCACACTTACTTCTGCTGTCTACAAATAGACCTGCCGTAACCTTATGCCCTAGTCAGAAAAAAATACATTCTTATTTGCTTCACTTAAACAAATTCCAGAAATCCAAATAAACGGTACAGAACAGACCATGGTATTCACCATTTTTACATTCTCATAGGACAGGCTGACAACGTCTAGAAGGAACACCAAGGCTTTGACAAAAGTGACTTGCTGAAAGGTAACCTTGTTCTGAAACGTGGAAACACTTTAGAATTTAGCAAGAGGCCATCTTTAGTGGAGTGACGTAAATTAAGAGCAATCCAGAACTCAGCAATGCAAAACACAAGCTTGTCATATTTGCAAACTCTCTTTTCCCAGTCTTGATTTAAGCATTAAGATTTAAGCAATCTTTGATTGCTTGAAATAAAATCACTGCATAAAAGAACAGCAATATAGTAAGGAAGATATCATACAACAAAGAATAATTAGGAAACTACTTCAAAATGCTTATTTTTAACTATAAGATTTTTGGGTTTTAATGATACAGGTATGATCATTCAGAAAACCATCCATTACCATCTTGTATTTTAAATTTCTCTTAGGAAAATGGTAAACCTAATAATTTCCTTCGATATACAGGTTTTGTGCAGCAGTAGTATTTTAGACCAACAGTACCTTTTTCCTCCATTGTATTGGTTCATAATAGGAAAACCCTGATATATAAAAAAAGCTAGATGAGTAAATGGCCATTATTCCTAACTTAGTACCCAATTCAAAGTCAATCTTGCTAGCTTTAATGTACAAACTGTCTTGAACCAGCAAGGAACCACATCCTGTATGTGCACTAGAATGGGAAGTATAAGATGTAGTAGCCCATGAAGTGCTCACAAATACATTTACACGAGCTAGAAAGATCTTATTGCTAGTTAACAGAACAAAGTATTACCCAAATTCAGGAAATCCATCTTCTCATTTGTCAGACAATTATACCTGCTATCAGCAACACAGTGTTGCAAAGAAGAACTGGCACCACAGATCTCAGAAACAGCAAGAGCAACAGCTTTTGTACCAAGTAACATTGTGGTTTTGTGCAGAAATTTATTTTGCAGAGACGTGAGTTGCTTACCATGTTTCCCTCATTTGACTTAATGTATATTATTCACTATCCCAGAAGCTGATCTTTTGAGAGGATATCCTTCTCTAACCATCTTCCAATATACTACATGAATTCTATATGCATTAGAGTATATGCCCAGTTGAATACATAAAAATATGTACATACTTATCTTTCCATATGCACATTTTGCTCTATTCTCAACATTCAAAAACATTATCCACAAAACAATATTTTACTGAAATTTTCCATTTTCTGACATTTTGGGAAAATGAAAATTTAAAAATAGAATGGTACAGGAAAAGACTTGTGATGTGAGATTACAGAACATGATCAGTTAATTCAAAGAATAAGATAGATAACATGTCACTGCCAAAAAGTTTCCTTAACTTAGAACAAATCCTGAGGATTTGCTGGTGCTGGGTATGCTTTTTTTGTTTTTTGTTATCTGTGTTTAAACAAAAGGAGGGAGGAATCTACTATTTTATTTTATGAGGAAAGGCTAAATAATTGTTTAGAAAAGGTTTGGCGTTTAAAGAATCTATTAAAGCAATGCAAATATGGCTCAAAGATGCAGATCATTATTAACTCAGTGAATTCACAGATCATCCAATGTTAATAACTGGGTGCCTTTCATGAACAAATGCTCCCTAGACTGCAGAAGAACCACACTGTCATGTCAAAATGAAACAATGCTTACAACTGCCCATGCTAGGAAGGCCTAAATACTACACTGTTACAAACAGTGAGTGTAAATCTGTTACTCTTAGTGAAGGACAGCCTGTAGTCACCACTACAGATCCTTACCACTAAGGCATTTCTCTGCTGTAATTCCATTACTGCCACTGGATTTATCCTAGACCAAGTTTATTGCTCCTTCCTCTTCCAGTACTTGGCAGTGGAAACTCCTCTGTGAATTAGCAGTGTAAATTTAGTATTGCCCAGCTTATACATTTCTTTAAATTATTTCATTAGAAAGTCCATGTGGTACATAGGCTTTTGAGAATATTGAGCCCTAGCGTTACGTGATTCTATCTATAAATTATGTTTTATGCTGTGGCAGTCTTGCACCACTGGGAGCAAAATACAAATGAAAAGTAAGGAAATAACCATTTGATTTGTAAAGGTCACACAAAAAAATAATTGCTGATTACATTAGCCTATTTCTTATCAGAAGAAAAGCATGTAGTCAAATGCATCACAATTTGACATTATTACATTAGCTTAAATTCTTCAAGTAGATAATATAAATGGAAAGGCTAGAAGGAAATGGTGTGGAACTTATCTTGCTATAGTTTCAAGGAGAACACAGGTTTAATGACGAGGATACTAGTTGATTCACAGGTAACTTGACAAGTACATTCAAAAAATGATACACAGCACTGAAAATAATGGAAAGAACATTAAAAGCAACAAAAATCTTAGTGCAAGAAAACCCATGTGCTTTCAGTAACTGCTTCTTCCTAAACAGCTGTTTTGGATCATACACTTAGCTACAGTGAATCTGGATAGTCTCACTGAATTCTATGGTAATCTTATTGCTTGTAGAGAAAACGTAAACATATTACATATTGTTTTCCTCGGGAGTACTCCATGCATGTTTTCATGCTTCCTTTATTTTCCTTTTAACAATAGGGTGAACCACAAGGAACTTATTCACTAAAAATACTTCCAAGAAGTTTAATAAATATTTTAATACTCTGACTAAAACTGTGTCTTTGACACTTTATTTCTGTTACTCTTCTGAAAGACAAAGTGCTTTGTTAGGCACGCTTTTCAACCATAGTTCATAAGAAACAACTGAGCTGCCCAGACTATAATTGTAAGCAGGTATGTAACTACCCAGCAGGACACTTTGTGATTAGATTGCCAAAATTTATTTGATCAAAAAACCTGGGTAAAAATGATTCACTCAGATGTGCACCATGTTTAACCCAACTGAACTCTAGATGGAATCATTCTTCTACCAAGTAGATATTATTTTGTCACAACAAAGTATTAATTCTGTATGAGCAGAAAGACTTCAAGGGAATAACAGTAATTTCAAAGAATCAAGGTAAGCAGAGAGGAGCAGAAAAGGTCAAATCTTTGAGCTGAAGCTAAATCTTGTGCAAGATTGAGAAGAAGCAGTCCCAAAAAAACTTAATCATACCTTTATATCTATAGGTCATCATGGACAAACCAACTACATGAACTTCGCTAATATGTATTTTATCCCTCCTGATTTATTATATTGTCAGTGCTGGAGTGTAATTCTATTTTGTTCTCTGAAATAAAGGTGTCAGTTATTGATGTGAAATAGCAGCATCCTTGAAAAAGAGTAAGAAGGTTGAAAATTGAGAGTCTGTGAAGAACAACATAAAATCTAGAGAATATTTTCTTTGAATCAAGCCCTTTAAGAGAATAAAAATTCACCTTGTTAGTTTCTGTGATCTGCTAGGGAAATAAATAACAAAGTGAAGAAACTGATGTCTATCTCCATTTACAAACAACCCCCTCTCCCTGGTTTTGCTCATCATGATCTTGACACTGCTACTTCTGAATTATGTCTCCCCTGACATCTGCATGAGGAAGGCAGAAGCCCATACCATTTCTCCAGATGCTGTTAAAGATGAAATTTGACTTAAGTGTCAACTGCACAGCATGGGAAGAAGCCACTGTGACTCTGTGGTACACGGGCAAACTGTCCACACTTGGCCAGGCTAGGTAACAAAAGCACACTCTCGTTAAAGATAGATGGTGAAGTTCTCTTAAATCATATATTACTATTATTATGCATACACTTGTGTACAAAAAAAAAAAAGTTAATACAGGAATAAACTGTAAACACAAAGACTAAAATCTGTACAACATGATTCTGCATGTGCTACTTCCCAGCAAAAGAGGAAATGATATTTTAAGTGCTATCAATTGTCTGCATAAACATCTGCATGACACACATGACAGCGTCGTGCTGTTGTTCACACCGGTCCCATGCATTGGCTGTATGCGAATGCTTTCAGTTTCACATACAGTGAAAGACATAAGTTGATGTTAACAATGCAACAAATTCTGACTGTAGTAAGTTTTGAATATCCAGCATACAGACATTCGGTAAAACTATGCTGAGTTTCATACCATCCTTAACCTTCATCTAAGGAACTCAATGGCTGCATTGCTCTGTTTGACCAAAGGCCCTTTAGAGAGATCACTCAAACTAACAATGATTACTCACACAGACTCTGCAGGTCCAGAGTACATTCCCAGAGTTTCCATGTAGGATAGATATCCTTGGGCTAACCTTCCTTCACCTGCTATTACAGGCCTATAGCAAGCTTCACTCCTATAACAAACTCAGTTTCTAAGTACTCTGTAGCACATCCCAGACTGCCTGTTGCCTTTGCAAATAGCCATGCTATCACACACAAGCATCTCATCAGCAGCAGCCATCAGTAAGCTTGCC